AGTGACACTGCCTCAGAAACCCAAGGAGGGGTCGCTATGAGTCAGGTCTGACTCGAAGGCAAACAACAATAGTTGTTAGCTACTTGTGGCTACTGAGCACTTGTAATGTGACTAGTGCAGACTGAGATGTGTTGTAAGTGTAAATTATTCATTAAATTCCAAAGATTTAGTATATTAAAATACCTTGTTAATAAGTATTACATGTGGAAATGATGATTTTTTAATATATCAGGTTAATTAAATTATTAAAATTCATTTCACTTGTTTATTTTTTACCTTTCTTAAGTGGCTACTAGAAAATCTGGAGTCTCTGGGTAGTGCAAATGGTTAACTCACTTGGCTACTAACCAAAAGGTTAGAGGTTCAAGTCTACTGAGAGGCCTCAGAAAGACAGCCTGGGAATCTATTTCCAAAAGATCAGCCATCAAAAACCCTATGGAACACAACTCTACTCTGACACACACAGCATCACCATGAGTCGGAACTGACTTGATGGCAATCCCAAAATTTAAAATAGCATGTGGCTCACATTATTTCTAACTGGACAGTGCTGTTGTAGAGAAACAGCTCTCCCTCCCTTGAACTGATAAGAAAAACCAACACTGGAGTTATAATCTCCAAAAAGTGATTTCCTAACTAGTCAGGCAACAGTTGGCTAAGAGAGATTTGGGGTTTCTTTTTTCATGCTATAGGGAAACATAGGGCTCAAGTAGCACAACCTTCACATAAGAAAGCAAGCAGCAGCCTCAGGGAAGGAGGCAGGTACATAAAGGTCACCTAACAGGAAAGAGGAAGCTACTTCACGCTGCTTCTGATACAAGCTGGTTGTATCACAAGGTGGTTGTGAGGGGCACAAGAAAATAAAGACCTAAAACCTTACTTGCTCCCTCACTCCCAGAATGACTTTTGCTCACTTCATGTTCATAATCGTTTTACCCTGAGAAGTTCTTACAAGCTAGGGAGAGCCCTCCAATATAATCACATGACTTGTGTCCTTACCAAAACTATATCTGAGCCAAGCAAATATTTTGGTCAATATGAAGGTTATCTTCTCTGTAAAAGTAATTTAGAAAAAGTTTCCATTTGGGTGTAATCCACTAATGTACACAAATATCCGCAAAATGACTCGTCCAAATGGATATTTCCAAAGAGGAAATGTCTTCCAATTACTGTCCTATCAGTTAATGAAATTAGTATTTTATTTGGAAAAAGTCCGCTAAAATAGAGTTTAACTGTTTTCTTAGAGCAGACTCATAACTTGACAATTTCTGGAATAGAAAACACGTAGAAATCAGCTCACTATGTTTTTATCCAAAATTTCCAAACATCTCTATGCATATGTTTGAATGAAATGTATTTACATATTATTTTTTAAAGATCTAACAAAATGGGTTTGTTTTATACTTTCCTTTATACCTAGCAAATTCTTTTACTAAGTGTTCCAAGTAGACGTAGGACTTTAGCTGTATAATTCTTGAAACTTGGTTTCTGATTGCTGCCCATTTACATATGGCATAAACATACTCTAACGTCACCCCACTCGGGAAGAAACCCAGGGAGCATCTAGGTTATACCTGTACCACCGCAAAATACGACCACAATGTAGTGAATAAAATACAACTTTTTAAATTATTCAGAGCAGTCAAGTTTCCCTATAAATTACCAATACAGATTAATAAGATTTTTCTAAAAAAGTCAATAGATGAGACCTTTGAATACAACAGAAGATTGAAGGCCAGTTTTGCAATGTTATTTTATTGCACAGATTTCACTTAAAGAACAAAATGCACCATCAATGTTTGGGGAGTTTGGGGTCTCTGATACTGATATGCCATCAGTGTTTACACCCGTAAAGCCAAATTTAACAGTACAATTTATGTTAAACAATATCATTTCAAGATGGCTAGAAGAATGAAAAAAGGGAAAGGTGAAAAAAAGCTTTAAAAATGTGTTATGTTGAAACATATGCAAGTGTAAGATTAAAAACTACATCATACAAATCAAAAATGTTTTTGTGGCATGTCAGTTAAAGTTATACTCACCTGCACTGTTACTTATTGCATGATTAAATTCTATTTGGTTCATTTCCTTCATACTGATGAATTGAGGATTTCAGGAAAACCATGGTTATAAAAATGATCAATCTTGGAAAAAGTATGTACAGATAAATGTAAAATTATAAACTAAAAAACATCCCCACCCCTCTCCCTCAGCTTACAAAAGTGAAAATTTCCCATGCAGAGAAAGTTCCACGATTCCTCTCCCTTACCCACCCCAATGTCCCCGATTCTAGCTTTTTCTATTGCTTATGACTAAATGACCTTGGAGCTGAAGAGGAGTGCAGAAACCGAGAGACATCTTTATGAATAGGCGCTCATTGTCATCTGTAGCAGTTTGAAAAGTGTCTTATTTCTCTCCACAGCCCCCAACTCAGCAATGTTTGAAAGTCATTTAAAATTTATAGAGACAAATTTAAAAAAAAAGGAAAAGAAAGGAATGCCCAAGAAAAAAAGCTAATAGTGGGCAAAACCATGAGAAAAGATGTGTGGGCATTATCTGTGCTAGAGATTTTTTCTAAGGCAACAAATGTGGGAAGGGGTAGGAGGTTAAAATGACAAAATGCCAGGATGCTTCTCCAGCTTTGCCTTTGGAGTCTGGCAGAAGAATGGGCTTTCACCCTACTGTGGCAAGCAAACTTAGGGCCATAGGCCCAGGATCTACAGCACCTCCTTGGTTAGCCTGGTAATGTGCTTATACATGGGCACTCTTGGCATGAGTTGGGGAGCTGGAGCCTGAAGAGTAGTAGAAACGGTTTTCACCAAATGACTGGGCATCTCCAGCGCAGCAGATGATGACACAGCCACCCACGAGGCACAGCACAGCTCCAATCCAGCCCGCGTACAGAGAGTAGCCAAAGCTCACGATGGTGGTCTCACGGTGGGCACACACAGGGAACCAGATAGTAGCAACGATGGCACAGAGAGCTGGGGAGACATGAAGAGGGCTTTGACTGGCATGCTCATCACACACCAAGTGCAGCTAGGCAGCCTCCATTCACTCCACAGATACACTCTTCTGGCTTCCAACCAAGTCCAAAACACTCAAACACAGCACTCTGTTCCCTTGGTCTGTGGTTTGCATTCACAGAATAAACTGAGCAAAAATTTGTGTCAAACTTTTGGATTTTTGTATTTTTCCATAGGTGGAAGAAAGAAAGAATTCTCATGTGGAAAATTCTAGCATTGGATCATTTAAGTCCAAAAAATATTTATTTGTATACCATGACTTTATATAAAACCAAAAAACCAAACTCACTGCCATCGAGTCAGATCCAACTCATAGTGACCCCTCCTTGGGTTTCTGAGGTGGTATCACTACGGAGGTAGATTGCCCAACCTTCCTTCTAAGGAGTGGCTGGTGGGTTTGAACCTCCAGCCTTAGGCCCTACACCACCAGAGCTCCCAATGCCTTTATGTATCTGTGCTTATAATTCTATCATCTACCTAATTGTATTATGGGAGCTCTGGTAACATAGTGCCTAAGGCACTTGACTGCTAACCAGAAAGCTGGTGGTTTAAACTCACCAGCCACTCCACGGAAGGATGGGGCAATCTATTTCCATAGTGATACTGCCTCGGCAACCTAAGGAGGGGTCGCTATGAGTCAGGTCCAACTCGACGGCACATAACAACAACAACAACAATTGTATTATAATTATCTCTTTACATGCATGTCTCCCATTCTAGACTATGAGTTCCTAGAAGGCATGAGCTATGTCTTACCTGTGTTTGTAAACTCAGTGGTTAGTTCAGTGCCAGGCACATAGTATGTGCTCAGTGTATACTAGCTGAATGACTGAATGACCTGAGATATTCAAGGATAAGAAACAAGAGAGCACTCATCTCAATTTTCCACTCTATTTTTTCATTTTGGTCAATTTATAATACAAAAACCTAAGGAAACTATGAACATTTTCCTGCTGCAATGAATATTGCTAGACATAAGCGAAGCATCAGCTAAGAGTTTACGTTTCTGTGATACTGTTCACAATCACAAAATCCCAGCTCATAAGTGCACAGTCCTCAAAGGAAAAGAATTCACCCATTCAAGGACTTTATACGGACAGTATTTGTTGTGATAGGTCATAATGGTAGAACTTTCTGCTTTTGTACTTAGCCTAACTTTCAGATTTGTTTAGAGTTTATAGAATAAGATAAGAAATGACCTCTCCACCATTTAGTTCTTCTATTCCTTCTAAGCCAAATGGTTTGTTAAGACAGGAGACAATAAGGACTTGAAAAGAACTTTTAAACCTCTAGACCAACACTGTCAAATAGGGTAGCCACAAACTATATGGAGCTATTCAGTACCTAATATGAGGCTAATGAGACTGAGGAACTGAATTTTAAATTTAATTAATTTTCTTTAAATAGCCCCCTGTGGCTAATTGCTACTGTATTGGACAGCACAGCTCTAGACAAAGTAACTCCATTTGGTGTCATCCAATTTCTCACAACTACGAGGACAGAAATTTTAGGTAAGGGTTTAAGTTGGGTTGGCACTTTAAAGTTAGTAGACACTGAAATAAAAAAATAATAATAAGGTTTCCAGCCGTTAGCCATAAAAGCCTACACATTCGAAATACAGTATTGCAATGCCAGTCTGGTGCTGGCCACCTGGGGTACCCCTGTGGCTTTCAACTCAGCACGTTTCTTCTGATTTCTACTCATATTGATTTTCTAAAATAATTTATGCCTGCAGAAAAGAAATAACATTTTTCTCTAATATATGCACTAAAATCTAATAATTCTGTATATTACTTCTAGACTAAAGAAAAGATTTAAGTCCTGCCCTTATTGAGAGACATTTTAAATAGCTTATTACAATGGTTTCTGTTGACAACAGACTAAGCCCGCTCTCACAAGCTGGACACAGACACACCTAGATAAATGTGATTCTCAAGGTATCTAAAAAGCATAGATGCCAAGAGGAAGGTAGAGGGAAGAAAGCAGATTTGGGGGCCTTGAATTGTTCAGTCTGGCTTTCTAACAGTCTCAATCCACTCTACTGTAAATTGTGAACTAGTCACAAAATTAAGAAGTTTATATAGATTGCCTAAGAAACTAAAATCCACCCATATATAAATATAATCATGCTAGTTTCTGTATTATTTCTGTATGTGATACCTTGAGAAGATATCTTTTCCTTCTGTGAACAGAATGCTCAAGAAAACCAGTGTTTACCTGAACGTACCCTTTTCAGGCCAGGGCTTTCAAAACCTCAAACACCAGGGAAGGATTTTCTCTTTCTCTCCTCATGGCTACGAATTCCAGTCAGAATACTCCTGGACAATTGTTGGAGTCATACTTTCAACAAGAAATAGAGAAAGAGCTTTCTCTCTATCAAACAGAAGACAGAAATGCTTCTAGAGCGTTTCTGCCAGAGAGAACTGCTCTAGATTCACCACAGCAACACACAATGAAGCTTTACTCCTCTAGGCCCCAAATGTGGGCATCTGCCCTGCTGTGGACAAGAACAGCCAGATAGCTAGGGCTTCCAAACACCCAGGTTTGTTTAGAGAAAAAAGGTGGGAAGTAAAAAGCCAAATTCTGTAGGAAAAAATATTTAATTCCTAAACAACTGATTTTGTTCAATCCAACTGATCTTTCCTATAAATAATTAACTGGTTTCAAAACAGCTTATTGTTCAAATTAAGGTTTACATTTTTCAATTATTTTACATACACACAAGAACACATATCTCATATAAAATTAATGAACTTTCAGATTTGATTTAGACTTTATAAAATAAGATAAGGGATTGCTTCTACTTATCATTTAGTTATCCCTGTCTTTTTAAGAAAAATTACAAAACAAGATCATCTTCACATGTGGAAAGAATCAGGCTCAGTGTCCCAAAAATAGTTACCAGCCCTGGTTTTGATTGTTTTAGGAATTTGGTTGTTTTATTCTAATACAATTAATTCATTAGAAATCAGGAAAATGTCTAAACATTAATGGAATGAACTTCACAGGACTGGGTGTGTGAGCAGATAGGTGAACAAACGGATGATGGACAGAGAAGATAGACGGATGATGGATGGACAGATAGGTGGATAGATGAATAGATGGGAAGCAGTCTTGTTTCAACACTACTTTCCATTTCATACATGTCAAAATTAACTTCCAAAATCACGAAGCCTTAATGTGACATTAACACACTTCAAGTTACAAGCTCTTTCATGATCCATGCAAAAACAAGACCTAGGAGTGCCAGCAGGCTCTTTATTTCCTAGTAGATAAATGGATCCTGGGTGGAATTCCTGTGGCTCTCAAAGATGAACCACATCAAAACCACTAAAAGATGACAGACCGCCACACAAGGAGAAGGGAAATGAAGGCTCCCTGCAAACAGTGACCTTCAATTGAACTCAGACTGAAGAATGTTTAGAAACTAAAAAAGGAAGAATTTACTCCATTTCAATGATGGTTTGAAAGGGGAAAGGGGATATGTTTTGACCAGTAAAGCTAAAAATGCCAGTCAAATCATTCCTTACCTAAAAAATGTGAAACATTAAAAGAACTCTGCCAATATTTTTTGGCTTTCTCAAAGATGTAGGAGAAAGTCACATAGATTTATTTCTCTGTATTTGTAGACCACAAAAAAAAAAAAACAGAGGAAGAATTTGTAATGGTTTCCTCCATTATTTGGGAAAAATTAATGAAATTGTTTATCTAAAAAGTCAGTTACTTGTAGGCAAAGAAGACTGAAGAAAGATAAATAGAAATTTCATTCCTTTTCTTTTTATGTCATCTGAATATATTTTTTACAATAAGTCTCTAAAACCAAGATGGGAATTCTAACACTTGGATTTTTCAATTTATTTCTTTTCTTCTGTCTTCAGAAGATGAAAAGAGTTAACTGCACAAAGGTGAGAAATCTGTCCTTTGTGACTGAGGAATAGAAAAGGCGATGCAGGGACTCTTAGTGGAGAAAGAACAGAGAAAGAGGAGGGGAAGAGGAGCAAGAGGAGGAGGAGAGAAGAGAAGGAAGTTTCACTACGTGGCTATAGTGGCTATAGATTCGTCTGGTCTTGGTCCTTTCACAAGAATTCCTTGCTCTTCAAAGGAAAAAAGAGCTTGCCTTTTCTGAGGACAAGCTCCAAATAATGTAATATAATGTGCTCCTCGGTTAGTAGAACATAACCTTATTAAAAGGTAACAATGATCCAATGTAGCCAAACACTGACAAAACTGGGGAAGACAATTTTAGAGCAATGAAATATAAATATAATTTTCAATCTCTTTAGGGATTAGGCGACGCATGGTAATTTATTGAAGGTAACAATGATCCGATGTAGCCAAACACTGACAAAACTGGGGAAGACAATTTTAGAGCAATGAAATATAAATATAATTTTTGATCTCTTTAGGGATTAGGTGACACATGGCAATATATGTAGCTAAATAAATGTGATCAAGTTAAATAAAATTGATAGTTGTTTGACTTTGCAGGTACTAACTTAGAGAAGGAGAATCAGACAGAGAAGCACAGAAATACAGAAAACAATTAGACCCCGACATTTCTTCCTTCCTCTAATCAACACCTCTTTTTTCAAGCTTTGTTACTCTCAGTACTAAGAACTGAAAGAACTTTCAGAAAATATTATTTGTAAAATAAAGTAATATTTTCTTCAAACTAAATTAAATTACTCTAATGGGTTATAGTAATAATGCTGGAAAAATATTCCCTGATACTATATCTGAGATTTGCTTCAAAAAATTCCCGGGTACTGGAAGAAATGAAAAAGGGTACAGATGAGGCAGACTGGTCATGAATTCATTGCCAATTCTTGAGAATGCGTTTGGGTCATAAGGATTTATTGTATCATCTCTACTTTGTGTGTGTTTGAAATTTTCCACAATGAAAAGAATTTTAAAATCCTCCTCCATTTCACATTTTACATGTGCTGAATACTTCTTCCAAAATCAACACTATTATATAATGTAAGTATAGTTATTGCCTTTAGTGTTTCACAAAGAAGCCAATTAAGAAGTCAAGACAATAAGCAATGACATTTCTAACCAGCGATTGGCTGGAGTCAAATTTATCTATAATTCTTTTGTAATTTGAAACTAGAAATATTTTGTTTTCTTCTTTTTCATTTGTGATTCTCAAAATTTTGACTTAAAAAAGCATAGCTTCCACAGGACATACTTTCACAAATGACTTTTATGAAAATGTAACATTTACAATAATCATCAAGTCAGTGGAATATTTGAGTACATTATTTTCCTGGCATGCTTTCCATACTTTTTCCCTTTATTTCTATTTCACATATCATTATCTTTTTTTCCTTTAACCTTTTTAGGACTACTTTTGTGGTCGTTTACTAACTTAAAAAATACCACAGAATTCAAAGCAGAAGGGACTTCATAAAACAGTCACATGGGACCACATGAACCACAGCTTTTAATACCCTGAGACTAGTAGAAGGACTAGATGGTCTGATTGGGATCATAATAGAAGATCCCGGACAGAGTGGGAAAAAAATATAGAGCAAAACTCAAAATCATAAAAAAGATCATACTTACTGGTCTGATAGAGACTAGCGGAACCACTGAGATTATGGCCCTTAGACACCCTTAAAATCTGGAACTAAAACCACCCCAGGCATCACCTTTCAGCCAAACAATAGACCTATAAAGCGAACATTGATACCTGTGAGGAACATACTCCACAGAACAATCAGCCATATGAAACCAAAAGAGCAGCATTTGCCCCAAAATAACACAGAAAGGGGCAGGAAAGAAGGTCGAATGGAAATGGGGTGGAAGTGGAGAGAGTGCTGAAACATTGAGGGGTTGCAATTAATGTCACAGGATAAAAACGGTACAAATTGTTGAATGGAAAATTAATTTGCTCTGTAAACTTTCACCCAAACCACAATAAATAAATAAAGCAGTTACTCCCTCCAATTTCACTGATAAGGTCATTTTAAGCTACAACCTTACTAAGACACCACATCCTTTCTATGAACTTTGATTTCTATCAGGGACTTGTTTGTATAAAGCTAATGAGTTTAGAAGAAGACTTTTCTAACTATCCTCTTAAAGTCCTGGGATTAAGGCTGCCACTTTTTATATCCTCCAAAGATTCCCGTTCCTTGTAGGACATCTGATCCTGTGTGCATGACAAGCTCAGCTGGTTCAACATTTGTACATACCCTTTATTTCATTGCAATTTCAATATTAGCCTGTAGTTAAAAGTACTTTTTCACTACAAGTAAGATTCCTTTGGCCACAATGTTTAAAAGGAGGAGGAAGAGATGAAAGGAGCACAGAAAGGAAGGAAAGTACACTGTCCCTACCCTATCACCCCAAGAAACACCAAATAAAGTGCTTTCTAATGGCCCTGCGAGAAAAAGACCTGGCAATCTGCTCCAGTAAAGATAACAGCCTAGAAAACCTTTTGGGGTAGTTATAGTTTGTCACATGGGCTGCTAGCCTACAAACTGACTCAACAGCACCTAACAACAAGAAGTTTGTCCTCAGATGAGAATTAAAATGAATCAGAACTTTGCATAACGGCATACGCAAAAAGTACAACTATTTATCTCCACACTCTGGTTTCCCCAAAGTGAACAAAGGATATATTTCCATTAGGCCAGCATGTGAGGTGGTGTTTGCAAGAACACATCATTGTCTCTTCTCATTAGTCCATTGTGTGCACAGAAATTAGAGTGGCTGGAAGAATATCCAGTTGCCCTCTGGGTAGCTATTTTCTCTAACCAACAACAATAATGATAACAACCATGTGTTGAGCACTTACTATGTGCCAGACACCATGCTAAATAATTTGATGCATCATTTTATTATTCTTACCAACCTGAGAAATAGGTATTAGCCCCCTTTTATAGAAAGGCTCAGAGACATTAAGTAACTTCCCCCATTCAAACAGCTAAAAAGTGGTTCAGTACAGTTGGGTCTGACTCCAAAGCTCAGAATGAGGTAGAACAATTTAGGGCATGAGAACCTTATGTCTTGGCAAGGACTCTTTAAGAACCAGAGACAGACTAGCTCTCGAAGCCCCACACTGTACCCAGAGCAGAGGCGCCTGCTGCTCACGGCGCTGCTCATCCGGCAGAAGAAGCCAGCAGCATCAGGCTCCTATTCCTTCCTCCACAGCTGGAACCAAATCCTCATGCCATTAAACTTCAACTGCTGAGAAGATAAAGAACTCACTTGTTGTGCAACAGACATAATATTGTTTTAAGTTTTCAGAAAAATAATTACTGATCTTCAGGGTCAGGAAGAAGTGATTTTAATCAACAGTGCTCACAGTTCCCATACCAGGACTAACTCTGACAGTTTCCACTTCCAGGCTCCCGCCTCCAGTGTCACCCTGTCCTCTTTAGAAAGCAACCACACCTCAGCTGAAGCACCATCTGGTGACCTCTAGGACCCAGCACAAGCCCAGCACTGGCTTCTCCTGGGAGAGTGATAGAAGCCAACCCAGAGAGACACAAAGAGAGCTTTCACTCTCCTGTTCTTCCCCTCCTCTGCCAACAGGGGAAAACAAGGCACTTGGGGCTCCGTTGTGAGAAGACCTAGAGGAAACCAGCAGGTGCCACACTTGAGACAATGAGCTTTACATTTCCCGAGCTAGCTCGTTCCAGTCAAAACAACATCCAACCCAAAGGCAAGTGGGTGACCTGCTGAGAAATAAATCCGGACAGTAGCAAAGCAGAGGAAGAGACGATACTGGTAAATGCAAGACTATAATGCAAGACTATGACCGAGCAGGGAGCTGTCCCCTCACCCATCAGAATGGTAAGAGTTCAGGAAGATGCAGCCTCCCTGGGTGTGATCAGACCCCTCAATTTTCCTCCCCACCATAAAGCTCCACTCCAGACTAGTAAACAGGAACTGAGGAACTCACACCCACTACCCCACCTCACATCATATTTAATTTATTTAATTCAACTTGGAAGTTTCGAACAACTAGTTGTTAATTTAAAAAATAGTAATAATAACCCTTCTTATTCAACTGGACAATTTAGTTGTGTGTGTGTGTGTGTGTTTTCAATCAATTTGTCTATACATATGTTTGCTCTCATTCCTCTGTTTTCCACAGGTTTGGTTGTTTTGTTTGTTTTCAAGTATTCTCATACTTGTGGATAATCTATGACTCTCATACGGAGGGTCAAAATTTCTAAATATGAGCACCTCACCATAATTGGCTTCTAACTTCATGAGTTACTCCTTTGGCTCTGCCATCCACCCTCAGAGCCAAAGAGCCCTCTGGGGCTTCTGTGAGAATGTGAGGAACTAGTAAACAGCAGCAAATGTCTAGGATGAAAACGATTTTGTGTGGATTCTAAAAATTCAGTTTCCATATAGAGCTTTGGTTGGTTTACTAGTTGGAAAGGGAATCCAGACACAAATGTCTGATCATCAAACAGCAATCAAAGAGGGACCACCTTTGTGCATTAGATGAAGTGCATAATGCTGGTTGTGTGTTTCAAGTGCTACTCACACGGAAATTCTTTGTGGCTGGAACCAAAATTTCCATGCCAGATTCTTCTCTGGCTATCAGAATGGTATGTGGATTCTGAATTCTCCATGACTTTGCAAAACCCTGCAAACTTTTATCCCTTTGCAGCCTTGGGAAATGATGCCCCAACCACCCACGACCCCTTACCACTCATGCCCCCTTACCTCACTGGTGGCACCGTGGGTGAGGCATACAGGAGGCTGCTGAGAAGCCTCTCGGTGGGAGTATACCATCATTAAGTGACATTCACCCACACAGAACCCTGACCACCTCCCCTTCTCCTCAATCACATGGTCTGATATGCCAGTTAGGGAATATAGATTCCTTGTTCCAGAAGAATGTTTATACCTGACCCGTATCCCACACCAGTTTCATCTCAGTGATGTGTGTGCTTTGCAACAAGAGCTGCTGTTCTTAAAGTTCTTATCCTCTACTAGGATTTAGAACATGTTCATGGAATTAGCACTGACAAAAAAAAATCACCACAGAGAACAGAGCGAGAAGGATCCTCCATAGATTGTTAAAGTGAGCCCTCTTTTCTTTCTATCCTTGCTACACACAAGAATCACCTGAGGAGCTCATTTTCAAATATCTTTGCCAGGACCAATGCCCTGTAACTCTGATTCAACCAATCTGGTGTGGCACCTAGGCACAGGTGGTTTCAAAAAGGGATCCCACTGTGCAGCCTGGATAGAGATCCTTTGTGTTAACTCTCTTCTGTCCTTCTCATCCATCTCTTAGGTATTTCCTGCCCTCAAAACCCATGTTCCTTTTTGAGTTTTTATTTATTTTCAAGTACAGTGACTCCCACAGACATGACTTATCCCTCTGTGTAAAGAACCCAGAAAACATATCACTAGAAAGTGAAGGCCCCAAAGGGCTAAAAGGATGCAGCTTGTGGGAGTGTATTCCCCAGTAGAGTCACTTGGCTTCCTTTCACATGTCTCATGAACTTGATGAAGCAGCAACCACAAGTTTTGATGGATATCAGCTTCACCTGGAGTTGGGGTGCAGTATAGAAGGCTGTTCTTACCCAGCAGAATGAGCAAGACGCCAGCCAGCTGTGCCCGCCTGTACTTGGCCACACCAGGCTCATGGCCCATTCGGATGCAGGGGAGAACCGTCAGCAGCAGGAGAATGGCCGGGAGACCCAGGACAGAGGCTGCGATCATCAGGGCTCGGCAGGCCTGCACATAGCCTGAGAATAAGAGAGCAGACAGAGTGGGTTAGACCGTGGTCCTGTTGGTTCCTGAACCCTGCCTCATGAGAATTTAGCACCTCTTCCCTTCCACCCTCTTGGCCCACTCCAGGACTCAGAATGTGCTACATATCGTCCAAGGTTACTTTTAACTTGTACTTCAACTTTTAAAATGACTCAGCAACCAAAACAGGAGATTGAGAGCAAGAGACACTGAACACAGATCCCTGGCTTAGACCACTTGGCCAAGCTTCCAGGATGAAGGGGCCGGGAGTCCATTTATAGCACTTTATCACCCTGGGAAAGTTTCAGATTGAAACTCAAATCTTTCAGGAAACCTGTGATAACCTGTGTTGGTTCCACTCTGTTTGTGTTCATATACCTATGTGATCTTGAGCAAGTTACTGAATTGCTGTGTCTTACTTTCCTCATCTACACAGTGAAAATAATAATAGCACCTACATCTCTCTAATAGAATTCTATTGGATATTGAATTAGTAATTTATACAATGCTTAGAATAGTGCCTAGCACACGTTAAGTACTCAAAAAGGGTTAGGAATCGTTGGGAGCTCTGTAGGTGAGTAGTTAAAGCATTCAGCCTCCAACCAAAAAAAAAAAAAAAAGATCAGTGGTTTAAAGCCACTAGTTGTTCCATGCGAGAAAGATGAGGCAGTCTGCTTCTGTAAAGATTCACAGCCTTGGAAACCCTATAGGGAAATTCTACTCTTTCTTACAGAGTCCCTATGAGTTGGAATCAACTCAATGGCAATGGCTATCATTGTTGTTAGCTGCCACCAAGGAGTCAGCTGTAACTCTTGGCAGCCCCACAAACTATGGAACAAAACGCTGCCCAGTCCTGTGCCATCCTTATGATCCACTCCAGATTGAACCTTGTGATCCATAGGGTTTTCAGTGACTGATTTCTGGAAGTAGGTCACCAGGCCTTTCTTCCTAGTCTGTCTTTGTTTGGAAACTCTGCTGAAACCTGTTAAGCATCATAGCAGCACCCAAGCCTCCACTGATAGACTATGGACAGACTCTACACTGGTGGCTCTGTAGGGGTGCACAGTCTGGAAGTGAACCCAGGCATTCCTCATGGAAGCCAAGAATCCTACGAGTGAACCACCAATGTCTCCTTAGCTATCACTCCTAGTGTGATTACTCTGTGCCAGCGCAGCTCTTTATCTCTAGGTATACTCAGTGATTTTGGTCCTTAATCATGTGCTTTTAATTCACATGACTAATTTTAATTCACATTTATATGACTAATTTGTGGCCTGAAGTTAAATTAAGCTAAAACTGTCTTCCTCTCTTTGGTATCTCTCCCAGAGACTACTGTCCTCATGAATCCTGCCCTGCCCCCTACAGAAGGTCTGGCTTCTGCTCCTCATACCACATGGCCCTGGGTGTGCTTCCCCAGGGGTCCTCCTTGCACCGCACAGTGGCTGCTTAAATAGCTTTTCTCCAGGTCTCAGACTCCTAGAAGGCAGACACCTGCTTTGGTGTTCATGGAGTTAACACAGTGCCCACACAGAGGATGTAAAGAAACAACTCTAAATGAAGGAATAAATGAGTTGAATAGTAGGAGTAAAGCAAAACTACCTAAAATTTATATAGTCAAATGAATTGCCAAGCATCGTCATGATTAAACAGACTACAATATGTGCAATATATATTTAGAATAAATTTGACACGATATTTGAAGAACAGTTGAAATGTATCACTCTTAAATGTATTGTTTCTCCTTAAAACACCCTTTCCCATCACCACCACCAAAAAAGAAAGGGGGGGTTACATTTATTACTCTCCCTTTTTTGCTCAGAGGAAGTGAGATCCAATAGGCTGGGTAAGGCAGAGTTAATGGTAAAGCCTTGAAAAGAACCCCACTTCTGCCTCACACACCAGGACACCTCACAAGACCAGCCTGCCTTGTGCACCAAGACAAAACTTCAACACTATCTCTTAGTAAGATATGCTTTGCCAGAATTCCAAGAGACTCCTCAGGGTCCTCTTCCAAAAATCTTCCATCTCAGCTTTTTCAGAAATCAATCAATCAAGTATATACTGATTTAAAGACCCCTAGAAAGACATTGGGAGCTCTGGTGGCATAATGCCTAAGACATCTGACTGCTAACCAGAAGTCTGGTGGTTCAAACCCACCAGCCACTCCTCAGAAGGAGGGTTGGGCAATATACTTCTGTAGAGAGACTGCCTCAAAAATCCAAGGAGGAGTCGCTATGAGTTGAATCGACTGGACAGCAGTGAGTTTAGAGAGACAGTAGAGCTCTGGTGGCGTAGTGGATAAGGCATTGGCTGCTAACCAGGTTAGTGGTTCAAACCCACCAACTGCTTCATGCAAGGAAGATGGGGCAATCTACTTCTGTAAAGATTTACAGCCTTGGAAACCCAAGGGGGGTTGCTATGAGTTGGAATTGACCTGATTGGTTTAGAGAGACCCACAGGAAGTCTGAGGCCTGACCACAGTCCTCTAGCCCTGCAGCTTCTAGGAGAGCCAGAGCCAACATAAAGAAGACAGTCAACTAGCAACTGAGGTTTCAAAAGTCATGGTACAGGCTGTCCACACACTTTGGTGCCAAAGTCACATTTCAAAATCAAAAGATAAAGACTGAAGTCTGTCTCCATCCCCACCCAAAGTGAGAGAGAGGAGGAAAGCAAGAAGAACTAGGCCCTTCTGAAATGTTGCTTCCCTCTGGAATATACTCTGTGTTCTCTGAAATAAACCACTTGGCACTCAATGCTCAATAAATTTAATTTGAGGTGAAGAAAGCAGAGTAATTTTATGGTTCCACTGAGGTTCCTGCAATACCACTCCTGTATTTTAATAATTATAGCTACCATTATGGAGCACCAAAGGTTTGCAGTTCTTATCTCATTCAAACCCCAAAACAATCTTATAAGATAGAAGGCTGCTTTGATTCTTATAAAAGAAGACAACTGTTCATAAAAATTAAGTAATTTTACCCAAAGCACCCAGATTATGAGGGTTGGATTCCAGAGTCTGACCTAGGCCTGTGGACACCAGCATTAACTAAGTTGGTTTGGGATCTCCCTCCCCCAATCTCAGTGATCCTGCAAATTCCAAATGGCATACACTATGTATCTACTGTGTGGTCTAGGAGAGGATGCAAAGATAATAGGATGCATCTGTATCTCCTAAGGGCTTAAAATACAACGGAGACAACTTGACTCAGAAACAAAGAACAAAAAATCAAGATGAAATGTGCCCTGATGGGGATAAGAGCCAAGTATTAGGCTGCAGGGAGCTCTGGTAGCATAGTGGCTAAGTCACTTGCCTGCTAACCAGACGGCTGGC